TCAGCAAACATGATGCTTCCTTGTGCTCACAAAGTTTGCCAGCAGTTGTTGCAATTGTCATTGTTGTTGTTTTATGCATGCACGTAAGGTAATTGCCTACTGCTCCAAACAATGTTTCATATTGTCAGAAAGCATGTAATCTGCCTGCAAGAATAACATATTTTTGCTTAGTCAAGGTAGGAATTCTTCTTTGTTTTTACCTAAGATGCATCCATAACTCGATATACGCAAAGCTAAAGCATGAACAAAACTCTTGAAAACATAGCATGCAGACACCATTGTGTCAAGTTTACCAGGTGATAGTGTTCTACCCAAAAACTACTAATAAACGGCAAAAATGAACTAAAGATGATTCCAGAACAGATTTCTATTCAAAGAACTGTAAAATTTTCTGCTCAAAAGCGAAAAATGTACGCATTTCTTACTTGTAAGAGACCACGTAGTCGATTTTAGTATGCTTGAATCATTGTTTACTGGGATTCACAGCCAGGAAATTGCGAAGGTTTGTGTTCATACATTTTGAATATTGTACGATTTCAAAACAAAATCTTCTACTGAACAATACTTTTGGGACATATCATCACTTTGAAATAACATTAACCGTTCTTATGAAGAATCCTCAACGTCGAAAAGCCTCAGTTTAAGCAAAATAGCTCAGATTTATTTTCAGCGATAATTCTCATCGCGTTTGGGAATGAAGTATCGTTAACTCCAAACTGAATTTCGTCGTTTAGGAGAGCTACATGCTCATTGTTTCACGAAACAATTCTTAATTAGCATACTTTGCTTTTATCTTGAGCTCCAAAAGGTCTTTGTTAATCGGGATGGAACGGAAAAGTAAATTTGAAAGGTGAAACCTCTCAGCTAAACTGGACAAGACCTTTCGGCCAAAGTGTAACTGCACAAGTCTTGTTATGTATGCACGGACTTTCTTACTTTAGGATTTTTACGATAGTAAAGTTCCTTATGATGTAGGTAGGAAATGCGCCCGCGATTTATTATGACAAGAATCACCGATTACTCTGCTACTTTCTTAGATAATTTATTTTACAACTTCTCGAACCAGCATACAACTGCAAGTAACTCAGTCTACGACATTACTGATCATCTTAAATTGTTTCTGACTTCTTAATGATTCGATATCCTTCACTGCCTTATCTCAACACATATCTATACATGGGATTACTCTATACTTGATGAAGTAGCTCTGGTCAATGAGAAAATCCTTTCAGAATGGCATGACCTTACTAGCTTGTTTGACGCATGTCATGCTACTATATCACAAATTATAGATAATCATATCCCACTTAAAAAAATCTCAATAAATGCAGTTGCTATACCTACTAAGAAACCTCGAATCCCTACATTTGTAATAAAGCTCTAATGTATTAAAGACGTATCACTTTTATTTTAGTTAAGCCAGAAAATGTCACCTTGAAAACGAATACAACAAATAAAAATGGCTGTTCTGTTATGGGAGTAAAGTTCACTTGCCACTCATCTGCAGCCAATCCACCGGTTCATAATTACATACTCATTAAGAATAATTCGG